GGGAGAGGGGGGAGGCTGGGAAGGGACATGAAGCGTAAACCAAAGGAGGAGGCTGCAATGCTTGATAAGAAATGTATGCATTATCCTGCCCATGTAATTGTAACCCCTCTGTACAGTATGTTCACAAAAAAAATAAAATTAAATTAAAAAAAAAGAAAAACAAGAAATATGATAAATAAGTAGTAAGCTGGTAGGATTAAGCTCAATCATATGAATCATGACTTTAAATATAAATGATCCTGACTTTACATCTAAAGTCAAAGATAAACTGAATAATAAGCAAGATCCAACTCTATGTTGTCTATAAGAAATACACTTTAAATATAAATGCACAAATGTACATAAAACAACAAGGAAAAAAACATGGCTTTGCTAATGTTGTCTAATATTAGATAAGCAAATTTCAGTAGATATGAGTTCGTTTGATAATGAAAAAGTGGTCAATTTATCAATAAGGACACAATACTAAATGTTTATGTACCTAATAACAAGGCTACAAAATACATGAAGCAAAACTGATAACCACAAATTTTACTATCCACATCTCACACTGTTTGATAGATATTGTGCATGTGAACCTAATTGTTATTGATTTTTTTTAAAAAAATCTGCTTCCAAGAAAAGCAAGATGCTTATTCTTGAGTGCACATGGAAAGAAACTAAATTATTTAACTTAATTTTACCAAAGGAAATTTCAGAGACAGTCCTCATCCCCCATTTTTTTTTCTGTGTTCTAGTCATGGGGCTTGAACTCAAGGCCTGGATGCTGTCCCTGAGCTTTTTTGCTCAAGACTAACGTTCTACCATTGGAGCCACACCTTTATTTCTGGGTTTTTCATGATTAATTGGCTTTGAACTATAATTCTCATATCTCAGCTTCTCAAATAGCTAGGATTATAGATATGACTCACCAGTGTCCAGCTCCAAATTATCTTTTAAATGAAACTACTGAAAAATATTAAATCACGTAATGATTATGCTCACTAAATGATATTCTAGAATTAAAAAGCAGCTTAAAGATATTGTAGATAATGAATAGCATCTTCTCAAAAAGTTTTCAAGGAATCAATAGACAAACTGTAGAACTCAAAACAGTTTGTGCTCCACTACAAAAAGTGCCACTATAGGTAGGGCGTATTGTAGAGCTAGTGACAGAAATAATGTAAGTGATATATCATATCTAATTTAATGTATTCCCTATTTATAAAACTATATGTTTGGTAACAAAATTGATAATTTCAGGAAAAGAACATCTAAAATCTAAGCAAACTGACATATCAAATGAAAAGAACCACATAAGTTCCTAAAAGGGTAAATTATCACTGACTAAAATAAACTTTTACTCCAGCCTGTTATCCTTCTAATGAGGAGTCTAAGATCTGAGTATCGTGTTTTGAATCTAGCCTGGGTAGACAAATAGGAGATACTTTTATCTGCTATTAATCACCAAAATGCCAGAAATGGAGTGGTGACTCACGAAGTAGAATGCTAGCCTTGAGCAAAAGCTAAGCAAGAGCACGATTCCCTGAGTTCAAGCCCCCAAACCACCAAGAAATAATAAATAAAATAAAAAGAATGCTTCTCAAACTAGTATAATGGCACAAATGCTTATATAGAGAGAACAGAGCACTATTTATAAGTTCCAATTTTACTCTACTCATCAATTCACACATTTATCTCCTGCTAAATACATGAGAACTTACTTACCAGACAGAAAGGCGATGTCTTGCATTAAGAAATGGCCAATGTCCCTTATTTGGAGGAGTCCCTTGATTTCTTTAACAAACACAGAGGGAAAAGACACAATAGCAACGTTAAAATTGCAGCTAGACACACACCAAATTTCTCACTGAGCCCCAAAACAGCTTGGCCCCTACATGCCTGTGTCCACAGACACCAAGAAGAAATCTCTATCTTCTCTCAGCTGCAGGAAATGAATGCTCTTGAAAATATCACCAGGCACCCAGGACCAATGACCTGCTTCTCAGAATCTATATCTAGGAAAAAGCTACACTTCACTCAGGAGAAATTCAGGGACAATTGAAACATTAGGATATCCGGTTATTCAAAAGGTGGACACATTGAAGATACGTAATACATAACATTTGGAGACATTGTACTACATTGTCTTCTACTTGTGCTGGTGGCATGTACTCTACAAAGCTTTCTTAACACTTCTAGGACTTTCGGTCTTATTGGATTCTCAAAATAACCCTGAGGTAGGAATTATCTCATCTTACACATCATGAAGGGAGGAAAGAGCACAGTGTTGTGATTTAGTATGTGGGCTTTGAGCTAGATAGACTTGGATTCATATCCAACCTATTCCATTAACTGTACATAATATGGACAAATTCTTCAGCTTCAATGAACCTCAGTATCCTAACCTTGTGGGCTTATCTCCCTCAAAAGATGCTATTTCAAAACTGGATGCTGCAGCTCCTAGCTGTGTCCTAGTTATTCAAAGGATGGGATCTGGACAATGGTGGTTCAAAGCCATTATGGTCAGAAAAGTCTGAGAGAGACTTTCTGTCCAATTAACCAACACAAAAGCAAGACTGGAGGCATAGCTCAAGTCATAGAGCACTAGTCATGAGCAAGAAAGCTTACTTAGCAAGAGCAAGTATGGGACCTTGAATTCAACTCCTGGTACTGGCACATGTGTAAGTGCATGAGCACATGAGCACACACACACACACACACACACACACACACACACACAAGATGCTATAATAGCTGTCAACAGCAGATGCTCCATAAACAATGGCATGTTAACACATGTTTAACCACTAGATATGAAACTATCCCTGCATTGTTCAATATGTTTTAGTTGTCCCAGATTAAGTGCTAACTTAATGTATTCAAATTTAGTGAATTCTTTTTATTTTTTTTTTTTGGGTCCGGTCATGGGGCCTGAACTCTGGGCCTGGGCGCTGTCCCTCAGCTCTTCAGCTCAAGGCTA